CCCATGTTCAATGTTGGTCCTGAATTATATTTGATCAGCTCCAAAGTTTAGATCACTTGAGATGATGCCACTAGTTCTATTGAGTTTATGGGCTCTATTTTAAAACGCAGGGCGCAAACGCTTTCAGGGCGTGTCAGGAAGCGTTTTTGCTAATTTAAGGACAGGAAATCTGCCTTGCGCCTCGGCGCATGGTCTAAAAGGGTTGAGTTTATTTTCTTAATGAGTTATAGGTGTGTTTTGAGAATAAACCAATTAGAGTCTCATCTCCCATTCCCTTTAAGACCCAGCTGCATCGCGCCAAGAGCGCATTCGCTATTTACAGGACGCAAAGTAAGTCTAAGTGGAAAATATGAGCATTTCACAAGCAAACAGTTAACAGTTGACAGTTTTTTAACAGAAAACTGTGAAACAGAGCATCTACTGCGTGAGAATGAGAGATAAATGATCTACTTTCACTTTCGCTCTTGGATAGGGAAACCTTTACGCACAGACATCAATTAGCCTACAAATTTCTAAATTCAGTTCTAATTTCTAGCAAACGAATAAATGAACAATAATGATCAAGAGTGGTCAAAATACTGAGTTATTTCCAAATACACCTGCCATGCCCCATATGGTCTTAAACCTGACAGGTGGGCAAATCTAAGCTTGTTTTTAATAAAACAAATATAAATATGGATATAATAAATAATACTGATAATAATAATATTATACAAAAGCAAATTGTTATGAATGAACTGAAAAAGCTGAGATGAAGAAGACATAAAAGCAGTGATTTTTCATATTTATGTAGGCTAGAAAATAATATGTTTTGTAATATTTTAATCCTTTATATTTATATCCTATATCTATTCTTATTATATCCTATATATATCCTTAATATTTACATTTTTTCATATGTAAAGATATTTGCCTATTGCTCTCTTGAGTGTATTAAGCAGTGTGTAAGCGAGGCGCAACTCTGCGCCGGAGTTTAGACCGGGTTAGTTTTGGTCAAATGAAAAATCTATTACAATTTCTCAAAATAGCAACGCGCCAGCAGTCCGCCTCAGAACGCCTTCCTGTTTAGACCAGAACGCCTATGGGCGCACAAATGAGCGCTAATGCATTTGCTATTTAAACAGCGTAGCGCAACGCCTCAAAACGACTCTTGCGCCAAGCTGAAACTACCAAAAGACTACTGCGCCACGCCTTGCGCCACACTGCGCCGGGTGTATGATAGGGCCCTATGTGTCTTAGGCCCAGTTTACATGTTTTAGTTTTAAAACGCTTAAGTTTTGCTACGGTCACACCTTCCATCCACACTACCCTGGAGTTATCCAGCCCCGAAGATAGAGCATTTTGAAAACGCTGAAGAGACCTTTTTGGTTTTAAAACGCTGATGCCACGTGTTAGTGTGGATGGGGGAAAAGGGAGACATCTCAAAAAGGAGGTGTGGCTGCAGAGATTGTGTCTGATTGGAGCTTTTCCTCAATATTAAGAATACAAAGTTCAGTCTTGCATTCTTTTTTTGTAAGCTTAAACTTCAGATATGGAAAACAAACTACCAAGGACCGGGGTCTGTTCTTCGTAGCTCGCTTAAATGATCTACACTGCAAAAAATGCTTTTTTTACTTAAGTTTTTTTTTTGTCTTGTTTCTAGTCCAAATATCTACAAATTCTTAAATCAAGAAGCATTTTCTAGACAAGCAAAACATAGTCTTGTTTTAAGAAATAATATGTCAAAATTAAGTGAGTTTTTCCTCAAATCAAGCTAAATAATCTGTCAATGGGGCAAGCAAAATAATCTTGTTTTTCAATTTGTGATTAGATTATTTTGCTCTTATTATTTTGCGTCAATGAGGTCCCTTTTCATTTTCACTATCCACTCATAATGGATCTTTGGGTCACTCGGAAAGTAGTGAAATGATAAATTTGTGTCACTTTCTCTTCTCTGCTAAGATATACAGCCAGGTACACAGCGTTCCTGTATGAATCAGACTTTTGGGTTTCTTTTGAAATGTTAGCAGCGTGAAATCAGTCTATAGCCCTAATCGATATAATGCAGAATACGGGCATGTTTCTTAGTTATTATGATGGGATATAAAGTTCATAAGATTAATACTCACTCAAGGTCAGAGTTCACTGCCCCATCAGATAGATTAGGAGGGTGAATGATGGAATCATTACTCTTTACAGACACACAGCTGGGTTCTGCTTTAAGAATAGCATCCTCGTCCTCTCTCTGTTTATACACACTCATTTTACAGAAAGTGCTAAATCAAGCACACAGACACACACATGCACATTAAATTACAACAAACAGTTCATTTGTCTAAGATCTTATATCATTTTTTAATTTATGCATACTTTTAAACACAATGCTTGAGAATAAATGCGGAAATGTTTGTGAAACCTACCTCAATCCATATAATGAAGGTAATCAAAGTCTTTCAGCTCAGAAATTCACCAGGTCTCTATATAGCAGCATTAAACTGAGCTGTTCTCAAAATTCATTCAAGTTTTTCCACTAAAAGCGTTTCTCTCTTTATGTTATGTTTTTTCCTCACGCAAAATGGAGTCTTGTTGACAAACTGGTCTGGCCAGGTTATACTGTTACCTGTAAAAAGAGTAAAACAATGTTGGCTGAGCGTACAACAAATGCAAAGGTGGAACAGTTTCCTTCAACAGTTTCCAAATGCAAACTCAATGTAGCCGCAAGTGACCCGAATATTTTGCATGCTTGTTTACAGTCTTATGTCACGCGATTGACCAGATTTCGTTAAGTTCTTAAATTTCCTTATGCTTTTTACGGGCATGTAGGTGCATTTAGACATGCCTTTTTTGTAACTGAGCCAGTTACAGCTATTTATTTATTTATAATTATTGATATAGACAGTACAGAGATTCATACAACACTGGTTTTGTTGTGAATGAGCAAAAAAACAGGGACTAGATTGCAAAATGTTTAAAGAACAGTTTGAGCAACAGGTATGGTTCTGGAGTCAAAGTGTTCAGTATAAACAGGCCTACCATTTGATATTAAATTTGTGTACATGCACTTTTTGTATAATACACAATCGATTACACACTCTAGAAAATAAAGTAAATTGCCTTTTTTTCAAAATTCTTAAAGACCTCTACGATCATACAGTAAGTCGAACATGCTAACGAGTTCTCAAGAGTTGATCTTCATTCTACCTTGAATAAACACACAGCTTGAGTAATATAAACACAATGAACTCACTGGCCACTTTATTAGGTACAGCTTACTAGTACCAGGTTGGCCCTCCTTTTGCCTTCAGAACTGCCTTAATCCTTCGTGGCATAGATTCAGCATCATGCAGTTGCTGCAGATTTGTTGGCTGCACATCCAAATCCCCCGTTCCACCACATCCCAAAGGTGCTCTATTGAATTGAGCTCTGGTGACTGTGGAGGACATTTGAGTAAAGTGAACTCATTGTCATGTTCAAGAAACCAGTCTGAGATGATTCACGCTTTATGACATGGTGCTTTATCCTGCTGGAAGTAGCCATCAGAAGATGGGTACACTGTGGTCATAAAGGGATTGACATGGTCAGCAACAATACTCAGGTAGGCTGTGGCATTGACATGATGCTCAGTTGGTACTAATGGGGCCAAAGTGTGCCAAGAAAATATCCCCTACACCATTACACCGCCATCACCAGCAGTCTGAACCGTTGATGCAAGGCAGGATGGATCCATGCTTTCATGCTGTTGATGCCAAATTCTGACCCTACCATCTTAATGTCGCAGCAGAAATCGAGACTCATCAGACCAGGCAACGTTTCTCCAATTTTCTATTGTCCAATTCTGGTGAGCCTGTGCCAATTGTAGCCTCAGTTTCCTGTTCTTAGCTGACAGGAGTGGCACCCGGTGTAGTATTCTGCTGCAGTAGCCCATCTGCCTTAAGGTTAAGGTTGCGTTCAGAGATGCTCTTCTGCAGGCCTCGGTTATAACGAGTTTGAACTCTTGACCATGTCTACATGCCTAAATGCATTGAGCTGCTACACTGTGATTGGCTGATTAGAAATTTGCATTAAAATGTAGTTGGAAGACGTACCTAATAAAGTGGCCAGTAAGTGTATGAATATATAAATTGCAAAATTTGCTTTATTTTAATTTTGATAATGTTTGAAATATGTCTTTGATAACATTTTGTAACTAACAGTGTTAAGACACTGAGTAATTTATTTATTTATTAATTTCTAATGTTTTAAACAAGAAAATATTCAAAGATAATTGGGCCTGACTCAGCATGAATGCTGTTTTTTAGCAGGTTCCTGGACATTCTTCATTTTAGAGATGTTTGGAGGTTAAGTATTGTATTTGTTCAGTAAACAAGCTTATGAACATTTATTAAAAAGTGAAATCATTAGAATTAGATTGTTGAATGCCAATAAGCTGTTAATTATGTTTATGAATTAAATAATGAAATGTAAAAGGTTTGGAGGTAGATCTTATACAAAGTATGCAGAGGTGCAATTTTAAATATTATTTAAAAATTATTTTGTGAAGTAAATTAAATAAATTTAAACAATAAATTTTTTCTGAATTGTTTTTTTTTTATTATTCAATAATAAATAAAGAACCCCTAAAAGGTTCTAAATAGAACCATTTAACTTGAATTCATGGTTCAAAAGAACCATTTGGGGTTCTATTTAATGAACCCTTAAAATGGATCTATTTAGAACCTTTTTTGGGTATCCATATATGAAGCGCTTGATAGAACCATTTTTTGGTTCTACATAGAACCATTTCTTTTAAGAGTGTATTATCTCAGTGGCTACAGCAATAGTTGACCATCAGATGACGAGCATGGGATTTTTAAAAAAGTCTCAGTGTTGGTATTGTTTTTAGATGTTGTGGGATCTCCTTCCAGGCTTTTGCGAAAACATAAAAGAAGGATCTCTTTACATGAATGACAAATGAATAAAAAAAATGAAGAAAATTTTATTTATCTGTCTTTTATTTCAAATTTAATTTGTTAATATTTATTTCACAGCTGTAATGATTTATGATTTATAAGAAACAGAATTAAAAAAATCTGAAGAAATATGTCAGCACCTAAAAATGTCTATATTGTGGTTCATTATGAACAAAGCAATGTGTACATATACACTGACTGTACAATATGTGTGAGAATGACAAGAAGAAATGTCATTCATTCATTTTCCTTCGGCTTAGTCAGTGATTTATCAGAGGTTGCCACAGTGGAATGAACCACCAACTATTTTAGCATATGTTTCACGCAGCAGATGTCCTTCCAGTCACAACCAGATACTGGGAAACACTCTTATATTCACACACACACACACACACACACACATATACGCCCAAATTAGTTAATCCATTACACCTATAGTACATGTCTCTAGACTGTGGGGGAAATCAGAGGACCCAGCGGACGCTAACAAGGGGAGAATATGCAAACTTCACACATAAATGACAACTGGCACAGCCAGGACTTAAACCAGTAACCTTCTTGCTGTCACCGTGCCACCCAGAAGAAATATCAGATGTCACAAAAAAAACAAACAAACACTGATTTACCAGAAGAACAAACTCTAAACCCAGCAAAGATTGGTTTGGTGAAAATGGTGCTGAATGTGTGTCAGACACCATAGATAGTTCAGTTCTTTCTCACAGGAAGCTGTTTAATTCCACATAGAGACACTGAACCAACAGAAAAAAACCCAATTCCAGCATAGAGTGTTTCAGTGAATTTGATTTTGAATGTGTGTAAGTGTGTGAGTCTGCGTGTGTCAGATACGCTGTAAAAGGACAGAGTGCCAGCTGAGTGGTCCAGATACACTCCTGCTCTGTTAGAGCAGTGAGGGACATGTATTTCTATGCTTATATCACCATGTCCAACAGTGAAACTGCCATTACAATAGATCAGACTCCAGGACTTTTCATTGAATCCAAACAAACTATCATCGCTCCATTCTTTCCTGCTTATACCATTATATACCACTGATATAGAAATGTTCCCACTCCATTCAGCCTCCCAGTAACAGCGTCCAGTCAGACTCTCTCTGGACAGAACCTGAAGACACTCATCAAATCTCTTTGGATGAACAGGATATGGCTGCTTCTTCTTCACACATGTCACCGTTCTGTTTCCCTCAGACAGAGCGAGTTTATTGTGTGCTGTGTTTACATCCAGTGTGAGATCACAGATATCTGAACACAAGAAAAGAGATGATGAGGTGTACAGCTTATCACAACACAACAATTATAGTGGGTTTTGGGTGTGTGAGATAGAGACCTACATTTCTGTGGTCCTGTTTTGATCCTGATGTCTCCTCCATGATCCACACTATAACAAAATATGTGACACCCTGTAAAGTTTACATAATAAGGAAGATGACACTAAATGAGGTATGTGCCGCTCAGCGATGCACCGCACCACACAACACCATGAAATTTAAGAATTCTAAACCTAGATCTATAATAGGACACGCGCACTGGCACCACAAGTCGGCTGTCTGCAGTGCCCAGCTACAACTCAGCACACTGTTCATTTTTTGATCCACCACAGAGCGCCATCTGAATAGTTTCATATTAAATAACATTCGAATGTGCGCGTCTGGTGTACAATTCTTCCACTGTCTCAGTGCTGTGACACGTGAGCAGCGCATCCAGTGTGCGACCAGCTTCAGACAGATATTCATTCATTCATTTTCTTGTCGGCTTACGCCTGTTTCACACCGCAAGCGTCAGCGGCGCGTGAGCAGAGCGTGAGCAGCGCGTATGTCGAGCAGTAGCAGCACGCAGGCGTTTGCCTTTCACACCAGCTGCGTCTGCAGCGCGCAGTTCTTCGGCAGCTGCTGCAGAGATCAACCTATCTCTGTCTATTCTATCTAGTTACCCATGTCTCTCTATATACAAATACACCTTTTAAACTTTTCATCTGTCCAGCGGCAGAATAACAGCTCGTTAATTCATGCTCGTGCAGATGATGAGACGGACAAAAGTTACCAATTCATGCCATTATTTTACTTATTTTCGTGTTGTCAGATTCACAGTGCAAACAGCTCCCGGTAGGAATAACTCGAGTGAACATAAAACAAAGCCGATTTAAACTTTCTTCCTCTGCTCAGCTGCACAGAACACAGCGAGCTCACATCATTCAGCATGCGTGTCGAACTACACTACCCACAATACACTTCGCTATGGACTACAAATCCCGTAAATATTCTATTTCCCCTCTCCTACAACACTAGTGTGCAACTTAAGCAAAACTGATACTAAAATTGTTTTACATTTGGTTTTGTAGTTCGGGCCTAAATAAATGTTGCCGTTTTTAATCGTTTTAAGTTCATTTGAATGACTATATGTATACCATTTGACGTTATCAACGTATTTATTGGGTAAAATTGCTACTTTTTACTGTCATTCATTGTGTTTTGGTCATTATCAATGCACTGTCACTTTAATTGAGCGTGAGCAGCGCGTCAAAAATAGACCCAGCGCCGAAACTATCGCTGCACTGCTGCTTCGGCGACGCTCACGCCTCGCTCTGACGCGCTGCTGCTGCGTGCGGTATGAAAGCTCTAATCTGTTAACATGGACGCCGAAAACACATGCGCTGCTCACGCTCTGCTCACGCGCCGCTGACGCTTGCGGTGTGAAACAGGCGTTAGTCCTTTTATTAATCTGGGGTCGCCACAGCGGAATGAACCGCCAACTTATCCAGCACGTTTTTACGCAGCGGATGCCCTTCCAGCCGCAACCTGTCTCTGGGAAATATCCACACACACACTCATTCACACACACTCATACACTTTTAATTCAATTCAGCTTTATTTGTATAGCGCTTTTACAATGTAGATTGTGTCAAAGCAGCTTCACATAAATGGTCATAGTAACTGGAACAGTGTGGTTCAGTAACTGGAACAGTGTGGTTCAGGTTTTAGTGTTTAAGTTCAGTTCAGTTTAGCTCAGTTCAGTATGATTTAATCATTCCTGAGAGTTCAAACACTGAAGAGCAAATTCATCAATGCGTAGCTCTACCAATCCTGAACCATGCGAGGCAGTGGCGACAGCGGAGAGGGAAAAAAAACTTCACCTGATGGGAGTGAAGAAAAAAAACCTTGAGAGAACCAGACTCAGTTGGGATACACTACGGATAATTTAGCCTACCCAATTCACCTGTACCACATGTCTTTGGACTGTGGGGAAAAGCGGAGCACCCGGAGGAAACCCACTTGAATGAAAAGAGAACATGCAAACTCCACACAGAAACGCCAACTGAGCCGAGGCTCGACCCAGCGACCTTCTTCCTGTGAGGCGACAGCACTACCAACTGCGCCACTGCATCGCCTTCAGACAGACAAAATTAAATATCTTAAAGAGCCCCTTTTATACATTATAAATGGTCCTATTTTGGGTTGGGGGGTCTCCAACAACAGGCTGATATGCATGCAAGGTCAAAAAACACTTTCATTGTCTAATAATATGCATTAATTTTTACCTAATTATCCCAGCGACTCCCATATGAATCGTTCAGCGATTAGTGCGAAGCTAATCTGCACTGATTGGACCAATGACCGCCTGTTGCGATTGGTCGACAGCGTTCAGCACGAGACAGAGTGAAATGCCCAGCACGACATATCAACAATACTGAAGTAGTCAGAGTGTATAGTGTATGTGTGAGCATACTTGCCAACACTTCTGTTTTTCCCGGGAGTCTCCCGCATTTCAGACCCATCTCCCGCCACCCTCCCATTTTGTTATTTCTCCCAGAAAACTCCTGTAATTTCAATTGAATAGATTCCTCCCGTAAATTCATTTGAAGCACTCTGAGTGGACTCTTTTATAGATGAATCAATAGTTTTAAACACGCCGCACTTTCAGATTTAAGCCTTAGCTGGATATTTCCCTTCACTCAGAGTTGTGTTACACACTACATGGAAGGTCTTTTTCAAATACCCATAATAGGGGCTCTTTAAAAAATACACACAAGTAGTTCTTGAAATAACTACTCAAGTAAAAGTAATAATCTTAATAGTTACTTGATATATTTTACATATCTGAGAGTGGCATCTTTACTTGCAAATATCTCCAAGTCTGTAAGGCTTCTTCCGGTTTCACATGTTCTTGTTAGGATTAAAGAGGTGGTCCAGAATGTATTTTTAAGGCTTGGTTGTGTTTATAAGACGCAAAGTAATGTGTGCTCATGCTTCACTTGTAGAAAATCATGTTATTTTTCATATATCTTGATTATATACAGCTACTCTGCTAACGTGAAAACATTTCCTAGTTCCTCTGAAAGGCTCAAGAGAGTCTGATTGGTCAGCTGACAAAATGTGCTGTGATTCACAGATCGGCTCCACGTCACTAGTACAGCGTCATGCCTTCACAAGCATGTGCTTTGCTTCTCCTGTGTAAACACTAGTTCTCGATATGCTTTCTTTAGCGATCTTGTGTTCTTGTGTTCTCGTGTAACGTCATCATCAACTGCCAAAGTTCAGTCCCAATACTCAAGACCACAAGAACGGAGGACGCGTAAAAATTCCCGGATATGTTCTTAATATCGAGGATGCATGGATGCAGACTTGAGTACCGAACTCGCTCTGGAAATCCCAGAAGTCATTGCGATTAGAGGTGGAAAGCGCAGCATTTTATATAGGTTTATTATTAAAGTTTATAGATATAACTTATCTACCTCCGGAGTTTCCCCTAAATGAAACGGTGAATATAAACATCACCATGAAAATCTTGATAAGGGCATGAACACATTAAGGGTGTTTATTTGCTGAAATTCATATAAAAATTAGTTTTATTTGTATTGTGCAATGTATATTTGTAAAATTGTTATGCATCGTATATATTTTGAAAAAGGGAAAAACCAAAAATTGTTGTATGAATGCTGTAATGTTTAAATAATTTTCCATTAAAAACGCGTGAAGGCCATGTGACCATCAGGAAGAATGCAGCATCTCATTTCTCAGAGGATTCATTCTCTGTTCTCGCAATCTCCCGAGTTCGTTCTTCTAAGGTGACCCAGCAAAAGAACGCACGTCCGTTCTCTGCATTCTTGAAATTGAGAAACAGCAACTGTGAGTGAGAGTAGCTGTTAGCACTATCAGTTTGAGCCTGAATCAAACAGAAAATGAAAAGGATGAACCTCATGCCTGCTCTCTTGAACAAAATCTGACAAGTGTCTGTAACTAATGAAGGAAGGGTTTTTTTTATGTGTGTGTGTGTATAAACAGTCTGTAGATGCATGCAACACAAGCAGTGCATGTGCGCAAGACCGATGTTTACATTTATTTTTCTCTAATGCTCGAATTAAAAAAAAAAGTTATTTTTCTGTAACATACAGTGACACTGTTGACAGGAGAATAAAGCGAGAGATGTGGGATGCGACCTGTGTGAGCTTTGACTGATTTTTCTGCTGCAACACGAGTTAGGCGAGCTCTCCTGTATTTTTTTTTTTACCTAACTCAACACATTAAATGTTTTTCACATATATCTGTGATAAGCATGTGTAAGTAATATGAAACACTCATATGTCTCTTGCAATTTTATTATTTGAGATGTTGAACACAGGAAAAGCTGCCTATAGAGAGACACTGCAGCGCTGCTGAAGATTGTGGGTGTTTACAGCAGTGCGTGTTCAGCAGTGGTTGTTCACAGTTTGACGGATAGATTTGAATTTGTAGCTAGATTGTTAACGGTGCCAAACAGCATTTCCTGTTGTCAACATCCTTGCTACAACATACTAAATAATGTGTATGTCATAGATCAATTTTAACAAATAAAAATACTTACAGGTTGTGGCTCACAATCCACAGCTTTTACTATTATGGTTGGAGCTGCTCCGTTGAGGAATTTTAGCTGAATCCAGCACTGAACTGGGAGAGATTCTTAAAGTTTTTCTTTGTTAAATGCTAGCTATATATGTTTTTATAATTCTCTAGAACATAATTTAAATTAAACTGTATGCACTCCTCTCTTTGTGTCGTGTCCTTTGGAAGCCCAAATACAGAAATTGCTCTCTGGAAATAGCAGCGTTTGGACGGCATTTCAGCTTTCTCTAATGTAATATTACAGCGCCTCTGGCCACGCCCCTGCGCTACTCAGGTTGTGTGCACGTAGTAAATGTGCGTAACCTAAAGCATTTGTGATCTCATCAGCCCGGATGTATTTTTTGTAGTCCCCAAACTTTGTTCGCAGTAGGCTTTGCTAAGCTAATCTGTAAAAGCCAATGTCTCCCTTTGCATTGAGCGTATTACATTCAGTGTTGTTGTTTATGTTCACACAGCTACATTACACATCAACTAAAGTTTAAAATATGATATCGTAGTGGACCACCCCTTTAATTCAATTAAACAAATATGATGTTACACAAAAAATAAACTCTTTACTCATAATGTGCTGATCATGTCACAAGATCTTTAAACTATAGTAATTTTCTAATTACTTTAATGTGCACACGTTGACAGCATGACAGCATTGTTGTTAGTGTTGAACATACTTGAGTGTGTCCAGTCTGTAGTTTGAATCAGACAGCAGCTCCACTAACGATTGTCCTGGGTTGTTGTAGCTCAGATACAGCTCTCTTAGATGTGAGGGGTTTAATCTCAGAGCGGAAGTCAGAAAACAACAGCCTTCCTCCGTCACCATACAGCCAGATAATCTACAAACACACACAACACTCAATGTCATATCAACTCAGATTGAAGATAATCCTCAAATTAATAATACATAGGGGGTGTTCCTGTAACTCTGCTTGGTAACACTTTATTTTGATGGTTCATTTGAGTATTAGTAGACTGTCTGCTTAATATCTGTTAATACTGCTCTTTCAACAGACATTTAGCTGACAATAAGAATCTTTGCAAGTACATGTCAACTTACACTAACCCTAACCCCAACCTAACAGTCTACTTATTATCTAATGAGAATTAGTTGCAATGTAACTTTAATTCAACAAACAGACCATCAAAATAAAGTGTGACGCTCTGCTTTACATCAAATCACTCATTAATTCAGTGTAGCACAGGAAAAGTGAATCTGTTTTCCTCACCTCAGTATCTCCAGTTGACAATGTGAACTCTTCAGTCCATCAGAGAGCAGCTTCACTCCTGAATCCTGCAGGTCATTGTTACTCAGGTCCAGCTCTCTCAGTGAGTTTGATGATTGTAGAAATGAAGATAAACTTTCACAGCACTGACCACTGAGCTGACAGCTTGCCAATCTTTCCATATATAAAAATATTTTAAATATAAAGAAATAATACTGTTCACACATAAAAATAAAGGTATAAAATAGGTTTAAGAAAGAAACATGATTGTTACCTTAAAGGGGTGGTCAACAGTGTATTTTTAAGGCTTGGTTCTGTTTATAAGATGCAAAGCAATGTGTGCTCATGCTTCACTTGTAAAAAACATGCTATTTTTTTATATATCTTACTTTGATTATATACAGCCACTCAGCTAACATGAAAATGACTCTCATATGTCCCAGTTCCTCTGAAAGGCCTGCCCTCAAGAGGCTCTGATTGGTCAGCTAACATAATGTGCTGTGATTCGCAGAGTCGCTTCACGTCACCAGGAAAAGCATCATACCCCTATAAGCACATGCTTTTGCTCTGTGTAAACAATTGTCAGTTAGAGTAGCTTTTAGCCGTATCAGTTTGATTGATGTATCGTATTTCAGTCTGAATTAGACAGAACATAAAAAGGACACAGCTGAACCTCACACCTGATCTCTGAAATAAAATCTGACTAGTGTTTTCACATATATTCAGAATAAGCATGTGCAAGGAATATGAAACATTATCACACATATAACACATATCTTTTGCAAGTTTGTTATTCGAGAAGTAGAACGCAAGGAAAGTGTCCACATAGAGAGACACTGCAGCACTGGTGAAGATTGTTTGACTGATAAATATAAATTTGTATCTAAATTGTTAACGTGCCAAACAGCATTTCCTATCGTTTACACCCTTGTTTAAGTCCTCTATACAACATACCGCTAACGCTAGACACTGTGCATGTAATAAATCAATTTTAACAAATAAAAATACTTACAGGTTGTGGCTCACAATCCACAGCTTCTGCTATTATGGTTGGAGCTGGTCCTTTGCGGAGTTTTTAGCCAAATCCAGCAGTGAACTGGGAGAGATTCTGAAAGCTTTCCTTTGACAAAAGTTCGCTATATATTTTTTTAATATTTCTCTGGAACATAGTTCAAATTAAACTGTAAGCACTTCTGTCTTTGTGTTGTGTCCTTTGAAAGCCCAAATACTGAAACATTACAGCACCTCTGGCCACGCCCCTTTGCTGCGCGGGGTGTATGCGGGTGGTAAATATGCACAACCTAAAGCATTTGTGATCTCACCAGCCGGATGTATTTTTTTAGTCCCCAAAGTTTGTTCGCTGTAGGCTTTGCTAAGCTAACTCTGTCAAAGTCAATGTCTCCTTTTGCATTGCTGTTTATGTTCACACAGCTACATTACACATCATCAAGTTTAAAATATGATATCGTAGTGGACCACCCCTTTAAAGAGTTAAATACCATTAAATACCAATGTTATTTAATGTTGATTAAACAATCGAATAAGAATCAATGCTTATTTAATTCTTACTGTGATTCTATGAATTGGTTAATTCTTAAAAACCTGATAACTTGATTCAACATACAGTAGGCTACTGCTTTCATTTGGCCTTTTTTTCATTTGCATCCTCTTTTACTTGCAATTGTTATTGTTTGTAATTAACTTTTTGTTGAATTAATGACTGTTTCAAGTTTTTTTTTTCTCTCAGTTACAGTGGCCCCTTTACAATCTTTAGCTTGGGGCTCCTAAGTCTAGGGCCATCTTTACAAGTTCTAACCAACTGAGTCTTAAGCATATTACATTAAGCAAAATCTGCAAACCTCAGTATCTCCAGTTGACAGTGTGAGCTCTTCAGTCCATCAGAGAGCAGCTTCACCCCTGTATCCTGCAGGTCATTGTTAATCAGGTCCAGCTCCCTTATTGAGTTTGGTGATTGTAATGATGAAGACAGGCTTTCACAGCACTGACCAGTGAGACTACAATCAGCAAGTCTGTAACACAAGATAAAATATCATGCAATGTAAAGATAATTAACAAGCATTTAAATAGCTGCATGGGAAGATGCCCTTGTTACAAAAAAATAACAGAATGAATCAAGCACATCTCATATCTGTTTCACAAGATTTATTTTTAAAAGTCTGAATATATACAAGACAATGAAATTGAAACACCTGGTTTTAGACCACAATAATTAGTATGTTTTAGGGCAGTGAAACAAGTGAATAATAATGTGAATAATGACAAAATGTTCAGTTTTGGGTGAACTCTCCCTTTGGGCCCTATCATACACCCGGTGCAGTGTGGCGCAAGGCGTGGCGCAGTAGTCTTTTGGTAGTTTCAGCTTGGCGCAAGAGTCGTTTTGAGGCGTTGCGCTACGCTGTTTAAATAGCAAATGCATTAGCGCTCATTTGTGCGCCCATAGGTGTTTTGGTCTAAAAAGGAAGGCGTTCTGAGGCGGACCGCCGGCGCATTGTTATTTTGAGAAACTATAATAGATTTTTCATTAGACCAAAACTAACCCGGTCTAAACTCCGGCGCAGAGTTGCGCCTCGCTTACACACTGCTTAATACGCACAAGAGTGCAATAGGAAAATATCTTTACATATGAAAAAATTTAAATATTAAGGATATATATAGGATATAATAAGAATAGATATAGGATATAAATATAAAGGATTAAAATATTACAATACAAAAAATTGATGTCTGTGCGCAAAGGTTTCCCTATCCAAGAGCAAATGTAAAAGTAGTTCCATTATCTCTCATTCTCACGCAGTAGATGCTCCGTTTAACAGTTTTCTGTTAAAAAAACTGTCAACTGTTTGCTTGTGAAATGCTCATATTTTCCACTTAGACTTACTTTGCATCCTGTAAATAGTGAATGCGCTCTTGGCGTGACGCAACTGGGTCTTAAAGGAAATGGGAGATGAGACTCTAATTGGTTTATTCTCAAAACACACCTATAACTCATTAAGAAAATAAACTCAACCCTTTTAGACCATGCGCCTCTGCGCAAGGCAGATTTCCCGTCCTTAAATTAGCAAAAACGCGCCCTGACACGCCCTGAAAGCGTTTGCGCCCTGCGTTTTGCGCTCTGCGCATGGACCGTCAAAATAGAGCCCTTTAAGTTATGGCTTGATTTGTTGTGTTCACTTTGGGTTTTTTCAATTAATTGCTATGGGTTCGATTTAACTTATTCTTAGAGAATTTATTACTACTTTATATACAGTGCATCCGGATGAGATGCACAAAGTTTAAGAACTGTAATGCTAAACACCTAAACACCAGTGGCAGACAGTTTAAACTTGGGTAACAAAAGCAAGTTGTCATGAATTAGATCTAAGATTGTGGGCAAGATGTATTAACTCTGCAAGGTATACAAGTGCTAAACAATGACAAGTCTTAAAAAAGATACCCTTACTGAATACTCACAGAGCTTTTCTGCAGTTCACCACAGCTGGTATCAGTCTCCTTCTGCCCTCATCTGATGTTTTGTATTTCTTCAGATCAAACTCATCATTCAGCGCCTCCTCTGATATCTGAAGCATGTAGATGATAGTTGAGCAGTGAGGTGGAGAGAGATTCTTCACTGAGGGAGTCTGTGATTTCACAAACTTCTGAATCTCTCTGTACAGAGTCTGATCCTTCATTTCCAGCAGACAGAGGAACAGATTGATGCATCTGCCAGCTGAAATTTGTTCATCACCTTTGATTTTATTTTTAATGTATCCTGTGATTCTCTTGATGGTTTCTAAGCTCTTCTCTGTGCATGTCAATAAATCCTGTAAGAGTCTCTGATTGGAGTTCAGTGAGATACCCAGCAGAAACCTCAGGAAAAGATCCAGATGTCCATTTCCACTCTGTAAGGATTCATCAACTGCTGATTTTACAAGCTTATACAAAGGGTTGCAATGACTGTACAACTGATGTCGAGAGTGCAAAAAAAAGTTTTTCTCATTCTCAACTAATTGCGAGTTAAACACACAAAAAGCAGAGAGGAACTCCTGAAAGCTCAGAAGAAGGAAGCTGTAGACTTTCCTCTGATGAATCACAGATTCCTCCTTTAGTATCTCAGTGCAAATCCCAGAATACACTGAGGCGCCAGTGACATCTATGCCGCTCTCAATCAGGTCCTCTTCATAGAACATCACATTGCCCTTCATCAGCTGATTGAAAGCCAGTTCAGCGAGTTTCACAATCATGTCTCTGCTGGACTTCAGAAGTCTCTCTGGATCTCTCTCTTCATACTTCTGGTTCCTCATGTTGATCTGAGTCAGCAGGAAGTGGATGTACATTTCAGTCAGAGTTTGAGGGATTTCTGCTCTGTCATCTTCATTCAGGAGCTTCTGAAGCACAGTGGCTGAGATCCAGCAGAAGACGGGTATGTGACACATGATGTGGAGGCTTCTGGATCTTCTGATGTGGGAGATGATTCTTCTGGCTTGACCCACATCACTGATTCTCTTCCTGAAATATTCCTCCTTCTGAGAATCATTGAATCCCTGAATTTCTGTCAGACGGCTGATGTATATTGAGGGGATCTGATTGGCTGCTGCTGGCCTGGAGGTGATCCAGATATGAGCAGAGGGAAGCAGATCTCCTCTGATGAGGTTTGACATCAACACAGCTACTGATGAAGACTCATTCACATCACTAACTCTCTCAATGTCTGAAAACTTCAGTGTGATTCTGCTTTCATCCAGACCATCAAAGATGAACACGACTTTACACTCCTCATACATCTCTGAGTCCAGATCTTGAAGTTCAGGATGAAAGTCCAGCAGAAGTGTGTGAAGACTGTACTGATGATCTTTAATCAAGTTCAGCTCTCGAAATGGAAGCACAAACATGAAATCTACATCCTGACTGGCTTTTCCTTCACTCCAGTCTAGAATAAACTTCTGCACAGAGACGGTTTTTCCAATTCCAGCGATGCCTTTAGTGAGAACAGTCTTGATTTGGTCTTTCTCCTCATGTTCTGGTTCTTGTAAGGGTTTAAAGATGTCACTGCAGTAGATTGGAGTGTCTTGTGTTCTGGCTGTTCTCTCCATCTGTAAAACCTCATGTTCTTCATTCACTCCTTCACTCTCTCCCTCTATGATGTAGAGCTGTGTGTAGATGCTGTTCAGGAGGGTTTGGTTCTCTTCTAGTTTGTTTCCCTCAAATAAATTCTCACATTTCTTTTTCATGCTCGTTTTGTGTTTATCTTTGACTCTCTGACTGATGAGGGTCTGACGGTCAGAATCAGTGCAGGTCAAGGGATGAGTTACTAACACATCATCTCTCTTCACTCTGTAAAAACAGTAAGTTAAAAAATGAGATGATTCTTAAAAAAAAAAAAAAAAAAAAAAAAGCAACCCCTATTTTTAACTAATTTAAAATGACTGTTTCCTTATGAATGAAAATCCATTAAACAAAACAGCTTGAATCATTCAAACATCTGAGATTCATCTTTATTCTACAAATATCTGCAGCTGTGTTCATGTTATCTGTGTGTTTATTCTGTATGTCCTGGTAGTGGATCTTCGAATTTTGATATAACTAATGTTATTTAGGGGCGACGCAGCGGCGCTGTAGGTAGTGCTGTCGCCTCACAGCAAGAAGGTCACTGGTTCGAGCCTCAGCTGGGTCAGTTGGCACTTCTGTGTGGAGTTTGCATGTTCTCCCTGCGTTCGCGTGGGTTTCCTCCGGGTGCTCCGGTTGTCATGGTTCTGTCTTATGTTTATTTCATTCTTACTTTCTTACACTCTTGTTTGTTTTCTCTTTGTGAGTGCATTGGTTTGAGTTAGCTTAAACAATGAATTCTTTTCTGTGTTGTAAGCGCACAGCGTCAAGTCATCTTGAGCTGTGTACTTATGTCTGTAATTTGTTTTGTGTTCAGCACATGGGTTGTGTTTGGTTTCCCCCCATGTGCTCATTTGTCTATTAATTAGACCCCGCCTGTCTTGTTACCTGTTCATTTTGTTAATTTGTTTCACCTGGGCTCCTAGTTTGAGACTTTGTTTGCTCCCCTATTTATTCTCCCAGTTTGCTGTTGTCTGGGCTGATTCGTTTCTCATGCTACATGTAGTTAGATGCTTGTCTGTTTTTCTGTCCACTTTGGTTTTATTTTGTTTTACTTAAAATGACTATTTACCCTACCATGGGCTTGTTGTTTTTTCCAGCCCTTTTGGCTGTTATCTGGGCTCTGTATCCAGTTTTTTGTTCCTAATTAATAAACTTTATTTTGTATTGCTGATCTGCGTCTGGGTTCTGTTCACACACCTGACAGAACGAATCAGCCAAGTGAACCCAGCAGACAGCAACCTAAGATGGCGGCTTCTCTTCAACCAGCTCCACAAGTGACTGTTCCACTGGGCAAGGCACAGCCAATTAAACGGCTCTTCCCTGTGCAGGGGGTGCTTCCCATCAGAACTTATGCCCAGATCTTTCGTGAAGAGGCATCTAGGCTGTGCATTGCTGAAGCTCACATTAAATATTTTTTTTAGTGGAGGGCTTAACATCCCTATTTCCTCTGCAGAGTTGGGATGTCTTCTCCACTGGTCTTTTGAGGAGTTGGTGGAGCATGTGTGTAGGCTTGAGGAGATGAGGGTGCTGCTGAGTAATTTCAACACTCCGGTTTTTACTGTCTCTGTTCCAGCATCTTCTCCAGCTCCCATTTCCAGTTCCCCGGCAACAGCTCAAACCTCTGTTTTTACACCACTGTTTTTACCACTGTGTAAAAACCACTGTTTTTACACCCAAGCGAAGGAGGAGGAGGGACTCTGTCGTTTTGTTCTGTTAAAAAAACTGTCAACTGTTTGCTTGTGAAATGCTCATATTTTCCACTTAGACTTACTTTGCATCCTGTAAATAGTGAATGCGCTCTTGGCGTGACGCAACTGGGTCTTAAAGGAAATGGGAGATGAGACTCTAATTGGTTTATTCTCAAAACACACCTATAACTCATTAAGAAAATAAACTCAACCCTTTTAGACCATGCGCCTCTGCGCAAGGCAGATTTCCCGTCCTTAAATTAGCAAAAACGCGCCCTGACACGCCCTGAAAGCGTTTGCGCCCTGCGTTTTGCGCTCTGCGCATGGACCGTCAAAATAGAGCCCTTTAAGTTATGGCTTGATTTGTTGTGTTCACTTTGGGTTTTTTCAATTAATTGCTATGGGTTCGATTTAACTTATTCTTAGAGAATTTATTACTACTTTATATACAGTGCATCCGGATGAGATGCACAAAGTTTAAGAACTGTAATGCTAAACACCTAAACACCAGTGGCAGACAGTTTAAACTTGGGTAACAAAAGCAAGTTGTCATGAATTAGATCTAAGATTGTGGGCAAGATGTATTAACTCTGCAAGGTATACAAGTGCTAAAAAATGACAAGTCTTAAAAAAAGATACCCTTACTGAATACTCACAGAGCTTTTCTGCAGTTCACCACAGCTGGTATCAGTCTCCTTCTGCCCTCATCTGATGTTTTGTATTTCTTCAGATCAAACTCATCATTCAGCGCCTCCTCTGATATCTGAAGCATGTAGATGATAGTTGAGCAGTGAGATGGAGAGAGATTCTTCACTGAGGGAGTCTGTGATTTCACAAACTTCTGAATCTCTCTGTACAGAGTCTGATCCTTCATTTCCAGCAGACAGAGGAACAGATTGATGCATCTGCCAGCTGAGAGATGTTCATCACCTTTGATTTTATTTTTAATGTATCCTGTGATTCTCTTGATGGTTTCTAAGCTCTTCTCTGTGCATGTCAATAAATCCTGTAAGAGTCTCTGATTGGAGTTCAGTGAGATACCCAGCAGAAACCTCAGGAAAAGATCCAGATGTCCATTTCCACTCTGTAAGGATTCATCAACTGCTGATTTTACACGCTTATACAAAGGGTTGCAATGACTGTACAACTGATGTCGAGAGTGCAAAAAAAAGTTTTTCTCATTCTCAACTAATTGCGAGTTAAACACACAAAAAGCAGAGAGGAACTCCTGAAAGCTCAGATGAAGGAAGCTGTAGACTTTCCTCTGATGAATCACAGATTCCTCCTTTAGTATCTCAGTGCAAATCCCAGAATACACTGAGGCGCCAGTGACATCTATGCCGCTCTCAATCAGGTCCTCTTCATAGAACATCACATTGCCCTTCATCAGCTGATTGAAAGCCAGTTCAGCGAGTTTCACAATCATGTCTCTGCTGGACTTCAGAAGTCTCTCTGGATCTCTCTCTTCATACTTCTGGTTCCTCATGTTGATCTGAGTCAGCAGGAAGTGGATGTACATTTCAGTCAGAGTTTGAGGGATTTCTGCTCTGTCATCTTCATTCAGGAGCTTCTGAAGCACAGTGGCTGAGATCCAGCAGAAGACGGGTATGTGACACATGATGTGGAGGCTTCTGGATCTTCTGATGTGGGAGATGATTCTTCTGGCTTGACCCACATCACTGATTCTCTTCCTGAAATATTCCTCCTTCTGAGAATCATTGAATCCCTGAATTTCTGTCAGACGGCTGATGTATTTTGAAGGGATCTGATTGGCTGCTGCTGGTCTGGAGGTGATCCAGATGTGAGCAGAGGGAAGCAGATCTCCTCTGATGAGGTTTGACATCAACACAGCTACTGATGAAGACTCATTCACATCACTAACTCTCTCAATGTCTGAAAACTTCAGTGTGATTCTGCTTTCATCCAGACCATCAAAGATGAACACGACTTTACACTCCTCATACATCTCTGAGTCCAGATCTTGAAGTTCAGGATGAAAGTCCAGCAGAAGTCTGTGAAGACTGTACTGATGATCTTTAATCAAGTTCAGCTCTCGAAATGGAAGCACAAACATGAAATCTACATCCTGACTGGCTTTTCCTTCACTCCAGTCTAGAATAAACTTCTGCACAGAGACGGTTTTTCCAATTCCAGCGATGCCTTTAGTGAGAACAGTCTTGATTTGGTCTTTCTCCTCATGTTCTGGTTCTTGTAAGGGTTTAAAGATGTCACTGCAGTAGATTGGAGTGTCTTGTGTTCTGGCTGTTCTCTCCATCTGTAAAACCTCATGTTCTTCATTCACTCCTTCACTCTCTCCCTCTATGATGTAGAGCTGTGTGTAGATGCTGTTCAGGAGGGTTTGGTTCTCTTCTAGTTTGTTTCCCTCAAATAAATTCTCACATTTCTTTTTCATGCTCGTTTTGTGTTTATCTTTGACTCTCTGACTGATGAGGGTCTGACGGTCAGAATCAGTGCAGGTCAAGGGATGAGTTACTAACACATCATCTCTCTTCACTCTGTAAAAACAGTAAGTTAAAAAATGAGATGATTCTTAAAAAAAAAAAAAAAAAAAAAAAAAGCAACCCCTATTTTTAACTAATTTAAAATGACTGTTTCCTTATGAATGAAAATCCATTAAACAAAACAGCTTGAATCATTCAAACATCTGAGATTCATCTTTATTCTACAAATATCTGCAGCTGTGTTCATGTTATCTGTGTGTTTATTCTGTATGTCCTGGTAGTGGATCTTCGAATTTTGATATAACTAATGTTATTTAGGGGCGACGCAGCGGCGCTGTAGGTAGTGCTGTCGCCTCACAGCAAGAAGGTCACTGGTTCGAGCCTCAGCTGGGTCAGTTGGCACTTCTGTGTGGAGTTTGCATGTTCTCCCTGCGTTCGCGTGGGTTTCCTCCGGGTGCTCCGGTTGTCATGGTTCTGTCTTATGTTTATTTCATTCTTACTTTCTTACACTCTTGTTTGTTTTCTCTTTGTGAGTGCATTGGTTTGAGTTAGCTTAAACAATGAATTCTTTTCTGTGTTGTAAGCGCACAGCGTCAAGTCATCTTGAGCTGTGTACTTATGTCTGTAATTTGTTTTGTGTTCAGCACATGGGTTGTGTTTGGTTTTCCCCCATGTGCTCATTTGTCTATTAATTAGACCCCGCCTGTCTTGTTACCTGTTCATTTTGTTAATTTGTTTCACCTGGGCTCCTAGTTTGAGACTTTGTTTGCTCCCCTATTTATTCTCCCAGTTTGCTGTTGTCTGGGCTGATTCGTTTCTCATGCTACATGTAGTTAGATGCTTGTCTGTTTTTCTGTCCACTTTGGTTTTATTTTGTTTTACTTAAAATGACTATTTACCCTACCATGGGCTTGTTGTTTTTTCCAGCCCTTTTGGCTGTTATCTGGGCTCTGTATCCAGTTTTTTGTTCCTAATTAATAAACTTTATTTTGTATTGCTGATCTGCGTCTGGGTTCTGTTCACACACCGGTTTCCCCCACAGTCCAAAGACGTGCGGTACAGGTGAAATGGGTATG